GTTGAAATTACTGTATTTCATTATCAATTATTAGAACCATTCAACACAATAATTAATCCTAATGACTTGATTAACGCAATTTATTGTGTTCCAAGAACAAATAATTGTTTATTAAGAGCATTCTTTTATTGGAGTGGATGTTATTTTCTCAGACTGAACCTAATGAAGAAAGCAGAATTTATGTTTAGACAATGTTGTGAAGTACCAATAATGAAAAAAACAGCAAGTAATTTTGGAATTGAAGCAGCAAAAAAGCTTATTTTATTAACAGCTGCTCATTTTGAGCAATACATAATTCCTTTTCCTTATTCTCTTTTTATTCCAAAATCCTACAAAGAGATAGCAGCATTTTGTAGTAAGTACGAGCTTAAAAGTATTCTTCAATCTTCTTTTGATAAAATTTTTGAAAAAGATGGAAACAATGGTATTGTTGAATACTTATATCAACAATGCCAAATCAAAGTAATTGAACGTATAGCAAAGGCATATTCTACAATTTTAATTGACGACATTATTATGAAAATAAAGATAGAACGAAATGAATTGATTAAATGCATTGAACACCAAAATAAATTAGGTAAAGATTGGGTAATTATTGGTGATACAATCTTGTTTGGGAATAATCATCTCATCAATCCATTACAAAACGAATTTTCTTTACTTCAAATGACTGAAATAACACTACAACAAGCTAATGACTTTATGAATCTTAAGAAAAAAACAAAAAAAGTCAATCTAAAATGAAAAGTGGTTAATTATTTTATTTCTTTATTAATGAAGTTATTGTTAATTCATTAAGACATAAAAGAAAATAAGAATATTCATAAAAAGATTTTCTTTTACCAAAAAAAAAGAGAAATATTCTACTTTTTAGTATAAAACAAATATATTTTATTATTAATTGTATTTTTTACATAGTAAAAATAAAAGAAATTGATAAAATTCTGTTTAGAATTTTATCAAAAGAGAAAGGAAAAAGCACAAGAAATTTATGAAGAAAGAAAAAATTATTTGAGAAATAAAAAAGAAGAAAATAATAAAAAGAATTAAATAAATAATAAAAAAAAAGAAATAAGAAAAGTACAAGAAAGAAGTATAAATACAAGAAGAGAAATGAACTGAATGTAGGTTATAACATTAATATGGATAGATCAAAGGTATTTAATAAAGGGATATATGAATTTACAAATAAGATTGAAGAATATAATTTAGAATCAGAAAATGAAATAGTTAAATGTGAAATGGCATTAATAAGAAAAGAGTTAAAAGAAAAAAAAATAAAAAAAAAGAAGAGAAGATTAAATGCAATAAAAATGATTTATATTAATATATTAGGATATGAAGTTGATGTTGGGTTTATAGAAATTATTGAATTATTAAGTAGTAACAAATTTCTTGATAAACAAATTGGATATTTAGCTTTTCAAATGTTATATTCTAATGTACCAGAATCAAGTAGAATGATTATTAATACTCTTCAACATGATTTAGATAATTCTAATGAATGTATTATTTCAAATGCATTAACAGTTATTAGTTCAATAGCAAATATTGAAATAATTGATTCACTTGCACCAACTATTATTAAACTTTGTATTGGATTTAATGAAGATTCAATAAAAAAACGTGCGATAGTTACGTTAAGTAAATTATATAAAATACAACCAAATATAATAATAATAAATCCAAATTTTATGAAAATAATAGAAAAACAAATAAATTATGAAATGGATTTAGGATTAATTAATAGTATTGTTTTATTATTATCTGAAATTATAAAAAAAAATCCAATTATTGTTCAACCATTTGGAAATAAATTGGTAAATATTTTATATAATTTAATTCATCAAAAAATAAATAAAGAAATAGAATATCATGAAATAATTTCTCCATGGTTACAAATTTCATTATTTAAATTATTATCAAAAATAAAATTAGATTCTACAACAAATTTTATGTTTTGGGAACTTGTTAAATTTACATTGAAATATTATGAAAATTTAAAAGAAAAATTACATTCAAAAATACATAAAAAATATATTTTAATGGCTTTATTATTTGAAATAGCTTCTATTATTATTAAAAATGAACAAGAACAATATTTTAATTATCTTCTTCCTTTATTAATTCAATTAATAAAAGAAAAAGATATTAATATT